AATATCATGACAGTCTTGATGCTGGGTAATCTCAAAACTGCATGGAGGTGAAACTAAGGTCAAGGCTGTGGCCTAGTTCTTCAAAGATTAGAGGTTTTTGCTTTACAGAAATGTGCAGAAATATGCAAATTCACAAATTGTACGTTCACCAGATTGAATTGCATGTATAATCACTTGAAATAATATTCCATACTTTTTTTTCCTCATTTCCTCGTTTGTGAAAGATTTCAGTAATTAGTTTATTCACTAAACTCAAAACAGTGGTTTTCAGTCTCTGCTTTTTGTCATTTAATCACAGGTGATAGTTTCAGGATCCTAGTATTGCGTTGGCTCATTGTCACACTGTCATGAGTTACCGGGACACTTGAATAGAATAGAGCCATTGTTAATGTCATTTGTAAAACCTTTGCTTCTCCTGCTGTCACAAAGCAAAATGTCTGCTGAGAAAAAATAGAAAGAGAATAAAATAGAAAAAACATAAATCGTTGGATATTCAACAAACTTCATCAAATTACCAACATTTTGGATCTTTTAGTGACTTAAATTTACTGAATGAGTCTGAAGGAAAATTATATATTGATTAATTAAAAAGAGTTAATTGCTACATTTATTTTTAATCAAGATAAATGTGCCAATTTCTTGTTTCTTCTTTTGATTTCTGTTGCAATGACATGACAGTGGAACGCAGCTCTCTGTTAGAAGAGTCCTCTCTTGTTCAGTGAGTGTGGGGTCTGACTTTGGTTTTGCTGTTGTTCATTTTTGTTCAGTTTTGTCTTTCACATGTCCTGACTTTTGTGTCATTAACTAGTGTTTTTCTTTTGTCCCTTATGCTATATCTTGTACTGCATCAGTTAGTCAGATACTTGGTTTTATGTATTTTAAACATTTAAGCTGTCAGAGCTATCGGGAAACATTATACAGAATACAGAATCTGTCCATTTCCTATTTTGAAAAACACTTAGGTTTAAATTTCAATTAATATATTCTTAAATATGGCAAAACAAACCAGCACTTACAGCTACATTTACCCCCCTGAGTGGAATGTTTGTTGGCCTTCTTTTGCAGCCCCAGAATCCACTGCTTCTCTAACTGGCATGTCAGACTGTGTGTGAGCCTGCTATTTCCAGAGTGGCATATTATTCCACATTTTCAGAGATCAAAAATCCCCTAACAAACTCCCATGAATACGTAATGACTGTAGCAGCAGGATCGAAGCTGAAATTACATTAGCATACCGCCCCCCCAGGCCCCGCACCATTCGACAGAGTTGTGTATTACACGCTTGATTCTCCTTACACGCCTGGCTCTGGGGTGGAAAGCGCCATGACAAACCCCTGGCCATTCATCGGACCAGTGGTTCACCAGCTGTTTCTAGTGTGGCCATTAACATGGCGTCCCTGTAGAGAGTGCAGAGCCTCCGCGGGGCCTCAAGATGTTGGTGTTTGAAATTGTTTGGGCTGCTGACTATGTGGGTAAAGCAGCAACCAGCCATATGACCCATCCAGCACTAGTTCAGTCCTGCCCACACTGGCTCCCATGATGGGTTGACTGTCATAAAATGGCTGAATGGAGATACTGAAGAGATGGAGGAGGGTTGGGAGAGGGATGGATGGATAATGGAGGAGTATATAAATAGAAAAATGGGAAGTATGATGAATAGGAAGAGGCATGAATATGAAGTGAAGCTGAGCTTTTTTTCCCCCCGTAGTAGAGAATCACTTCTTGTAGCCTATATATTTATTCAACCATTTCCTGTGGCAGCTCAGTTTGTAGTCCAGTACAGTGCAGTACATTGTGTTCTATGGAGCATATCAGTAGCCTGCGGGAATCAAAACGGAGTAGAAGAGCAAAGATGCAAGCTCACTTTAGCTGCATTAGATCATGTTTGAGTGGTTAACCCACGCTGACAGAGCACTACAGATGAAGTCATAGATGTCACAGGAATACACGCTGGCAACAGTTTGCAAACGGAGTCACAGCGAGGATGATCAGTACAGTAGCACCGTTTTCACACTGCTGGCAGGGTGGAGTGAACTACAGGATTGTTTGCTTTTGTGTTACTTCTCCAGAGACTGTCTAACAACATACTCCAGTTTCCTTTCTCTCCGTTTCTTTGACCTTGTTCTGCGTGACTGTATCTGTAATGTGATAGTCTGAAGGTATTTTATTTAAAAAGGTGTCATTATTGTGAATGGTGTCTTTATAAAAGTTGTATCAAGTGCTGCAGAGTGTGTGAATTCACAGCATCCTACCGGCGTCTGTCTGTGTTAATGAAGTTTGCGTAAGTGCTCAAGTGTGTTCTTGGTCTGTTTGGCTGTGGTGACTCTCTGCTTATGCTGTTAGGAGGTTTTTTTTAGTGTTTCACTATGCTCCACTATGCTTTCATGAAGTTTGTATGGGTTTTGTAAACTATTCTTTTACATCACTTGGTAAATGACTGATGGATCATTATATGGATTATTTTATGATTAGTTGATTGACAGAAAATTAATCAGGATTTTTAAAAATAATAATTGATTCATCTTTTGTCATTTTTTTAAGCAGAAAAGCCAAAATGTTTCCATCTCCTCAAATGTGAATATTTGCCACTTTTCTTTATTTTCTATATTAAACTGAACAGCTTCGGGTTTTGGAATGTTTTAAGATCAATGTAAAGAATATCTGTTTCCAGCAACCCTAGTAAAACTGGAGGTAGTCACCAGTAGTCACAGTTTTGTGAGTTATTGTAAAAAAGAAAAATAGCTACTTTTTCCCCTTTAAATTTTGACATTTGGGATAAATGTGAAATCCAGTGATAAGAAAAATCACTCAAAGGTCAGACTGTGTTGTTGCAGGGAAGGCTGTCTATACAGTTGGAAGACATTAAACAGTACAGAGTGATTGATGGTGTCCATCTGCGGTAATAGACCCAGCTCAAGGTGGATCACTCTCATAGCAGTTGTTTTTATGCTTCACAGATAATTGTGGCTCAGAGCGTGCTCATGTCATTGTGTCATCTTACAGTGGTGCCCAGTGAAACGTGATGACTCCATTTGTAGAGAAATTACACGATCGAATAGTTGATTAATCTCAGTTATGACAGGCGTGTAAGTCAGCAAAATTGATCCCCTGCACATTAGATAGCGATATGAATACTCGTGGTGGTTTCTAAGTGTAATCATAAATCCTTGTCAACACCCACCCATCCCTGATCCCTCACAGTGGACGTGACTAACCAGTCTGAGCACCGCCTGTCTGTGTCACGATCACTTTCTGTCTCTTCCACGGCAGCTGAACATCCTCTTGCCAGAAAAAAGTGATATGAACAAGGCAATGACAAAAGCTGCATGGATGTGGGTGCTTTGTGCTTTGAGGGCCAAGCCTAACACCCATTATAATCCTTTTTACATAAAGACATCACATGTGGGTGGCAAGCGAACATGCTGTCAGGAGAAGGATATGTACCGATGTTGTAGACATATGGTGGGGACATCTTGCAATTGTCTGTTCAAATCTGATTGAAGTTAAGGAAGCAAATAATTAAGATCAGATCATCGCTAAAATAATTTATTTCTGCATTCTTAGCCAGATGCCGCATTTTTATTTTCATTTTTAAGGCTGCTCTAAGTTTCGTTTCATGTTTCTTTTTTTTTTTTTTTTTTAAGAATCCAATCTTGAGATTTCTTGGGATGTGACTCAGATGTGTTTTATTTTTTCATGCTTACATTTGGGGCAGGAAAGAAAAAACACTCAGTGATCTGTGTAGACTCAGCTTTATATAAACTACAATGTGTAGCCCAGCTGCTCCCCCTTTGATTCTGTCAGTGTAGCAGCTTTTGAATGTGGCAAAATGGCCTCATTAGTTCAACAATAGCTCTCTTTAAGTGTCATGAAACATATATACAGAGGACTAAGTTTATTGGGCCAGAATTTAGGGATTTCGCCAATATACTTTCTCCAACAAACATCAGTTAAAAGTGTAAATATCCTTCTCTCCATTTACTTTACACTGAAGAAGCTAAATGTTGAACATTTTTAAACCACACTGACCTTTCCTCTTTAATATCCACCCCTCTAACAAATACAGAGACAAATTGCCCCCTGCCTGTCCTCTTCTCACCCCTCACCCCTCCCCTCCCCTCCCTTCCCTTCCCCATCCCCCTCCCTGTCCCTGTCTGTCATACAGACCTCTGTCTTTAAATTTTGGGGGAGGACGGGTAACGTTTGTCTGACTGACTTGGGTGTGGCTGGAGGCCTTTCTGTAACACACACACACCGACGCAGAGGTATATGCAAATTCATGCATACAGAGACATATAACCATACACTCTTGGATACACAGATTTATATATATGCTTTCCCACACACACAGACACACACTCCCACTCTCCCTCAGCTATTTGCATATTAACAACGTGCCCCATAGATGCTTCCTGCACTCACACCGCCTCTTGGCTCAGTTTATATATGTGGGACCATTATTGTGCTGGTGCGTGGGTGTGTTAGCATGTAAATAATATACTTCCCTTGGTACTTTGGCTTATGTGTGTGTGTGTGTGTGTGAGTGTATGCATGTTACTACAGTGTGTCAGTCAGTCACAGCGTGGTCCTCCCTGTAACACAAAGACCCTGTCAGCAGCAGAAGCAGCCGTGTGTGTGTGTGTGTGTGTGTGTGTGTGTGTGTGTGTGTTGGCCAGCTTGTAGTGCTCCTCCTATGTAGAGCTTGGAGGGAAGGAAGAGAGCGGAGGTGGAGGGAGGGGGATCTGAAATTATTGGGGTGGAGGGGATTATTAGGAAAGGGGCCAGAGTTGTTTTTATGGACTCATCTCCATAAACTGTCAGACGACATGCTCCACTGATCCCTTTGAGCTCCTCTTTGGCTCACATTGTGTTGGGCTGGAGTAACACTGTGTTCTTCCAAAACTGTTTCAAATAAAAAAAAAAGATGCATAATTTTGTGCTGCTGTTTGATGTGTTCATAGACTAAAATAGTGTCTCTGTGTCTTTCTCTCTGCCTGCAGCCGTTCCATCCCATGGTGAACCTGCAGTGCTCTCCGGAGCTCAGGATGTTCCTTTGCGCACTCTACGCTCCGGTGTGTACAGAGTACGGGCGAATGACTCTGCCCTGTCGCCGCCTCTGTCTGCAGGCTAAGAGCGACTGCTACAAACTAATGGACATGTTTGGCGTCAGCTGGCCGGAGGAGATGGACTGCAACAGGTTGTTACAACAGTAATAATTCTTTTCCCCTGGATTTATTTTGGCAGGAACAACCCTGCTGCATTAGTAATTTAAGAAGATTTTCCTTTTTTGGGACGAGTAATAATACAGCATTAGATCAGCAAGCAAGTAAAAAAAAAATTGATTTTCGAGACCACACAGCAGAAGAGGCTTAGAAGAATACCATGTTTCTATTGGTCATATGTGGTGGTGAGAAAAAAATCAAACTCATTAATCTGATCAGAATGAGTTGAGTCACACCAATAAAGTGCTGTATAACCTCTAAATAAAAATCTGTTTGTAGACATATAACTTGTTAGAACCAGGTAATCAATCAAATGGAACATTTAACTTTTATGATATTGTTGGATTGCAGCTGAGAAGTGATCTGTGTTTTGTGTTTATGTGCTAATCAGAAGCTGGAGAGTGGAGTAGGAGATTTGGCTGCCTTAAATACAGTGGAGTCCACAAGTCTGAGACCACATTCCCATATTGGGAAAGTGGTCTCAGACTTGTGGACTCCACTGTCCATTTATTTGGAACTTTCTTTTCCCAGAGAGGAAACTAGTTTTGTGGCCAGATAATTGATTCAGTCAGCTGCACATCAAACACATCACAGTGCACAGACACGTCCAACACAGTATTTCATCACTTAAAACAATTTTACCAAAAACAACATAGCAGGCACGAGTTGTTACAAATGAAACCTGGAAGACAAACGGTGAATAAATGTGATTTGTAAAGTTTTTTTGTCTTAAAAAAAAAAAAAAAAAAGAAAATTAAATGTCAGACAGGAAGAGAACGGGTAAAGATTTTACAAGATGTTTTTCCTCTTAACTCAATGCCAGGCAACTGATAACACAGAAATGCATACAATTTATGACCACACAACAATTAGCCAACAATTACTTACCCTGAAATGACAAACCAAGAAGGTTGTAAATTAAAACTGACTAATAACTTTACATAGAACAAAAGATATAAAAAGAAATTAATGAAATAATTAATAAAGAATAAATAAAGAGATAAATAACAACAAAAAACAATGAACATTATGAAATTTCAGACCACATTTAGAAATGAGGTTAAAAAAGTGCAACATTGCTGGTTCAAGTCTGGCTGGCAACAGTTTCATGTCATCCCCCATCTCTCTGTTCTCATTTACTTTCTGCTTTTTATACTATTTGTGTATTTTTAATAATGACAAAAATACCAAAAGGCAACTTAAAATACATGAATTCAGTTTCTTGACAACTCAATGATAATGTATCTTTGAAAAAAGTAAAGTAAGTAATTGCTCATTAGAATGAGTAATATGTCTGAGACAAGTTTCAAGTCTTTGCAAGTTGAATTTCTCCTCCTTTCTTCTGCACTGATGTGACATGTAATCACCTGGTGCCTGGAAGGTACAAAATGGATTCATTAATCTAAAAAGCTACAGATCACTTTTGAAGCTCGTTGGCAGTAATATCATGCTGGCAGTGTGTGTAATCTGTTGTTAAAGGCTGAACAGCTGTAATTACCCTGAGGTCAACATCATCATCATCATCATCATCATCATCATCCTCTCCTCCCAGGTTCCCAGACTGCGATGAGTCCTACCCCCGTCCTGTAGACCTCCTGTCCAGCTCAGACACAACCGAATCCCCCATCTCCGTCCAGAGAGACTACGGCTTCTGGTGTCCTCGTGAACTCAAGATCGACCCTGAGCTCGGCTACTCTTTCATGGGGGTTCGAGACTGTTCGCCTCCTTGTCCTAACATGTATTTCACACGGGAGGAGCTGATGTTCGCCCGCTACTTCATTGGAGTGGTGTCCATCGTCTGCTTGTCTGCCACTCTTTTCACCTTCCTGACTTTTCTCATCGACGTGTCACGATTCCGCTACCCAGAGCGCCCGATCATATTTTACGCCGTGTGCTACATGATGGTGTCCCTGGTGTTCTTCTTGGGGTTTTTGTTGGAGGACAAAGTTGCCTGTAATGCAGCAAGTCCTGGGAGGTTTAGGGCTTCAACGGTGACTCAAGGCTCCCATAATAAGGTCAGAAAGTCTGTCCTGTTCTTTGTATTCTTGTCTGGTTTTCTACTGCCTACACACTGATGATAATCTCACATCTTGGTTTTGTTTTCTGTCTGTCCCAGGCCTGCACTCTCCTCTTCATGGTGCTGTATTTCTTCACCATGGCTGGCAGCGTCTGGTGGGTCATTCTGACCATCACCTGGTTCCTGGCTGCTGTTCCCAAGTGGGGCAGTGAGGCCATAGAGAAGAAGGCTCTCCTCTTCCATGCCTGTGCTTGGGGCATCCCTGGTGTCCTTACCGTCACTCTGCTCGCCATGAACAAGATTGAGGGAGACAGTGTCAGTGGTGTTTGCTTTGTTGGACTCTACAACTTGACGGCACTGCGTTGGTTCCTGCTGGTCCCACTGGGACTGGACGTAGTGGTGAGAAAGAGTATTATAGAGTAAACTGTAGACACACTTTCCTCTCTACATTTTACTTTCTGAATAAACAGAATAATAACATGTTCACTAACAGAAACAAACTGTCAGTTCTGATGTTTAACCTCGTCCCTCACACATGTCGTCGCAGGTTGGTGTGGCGTTGCTCCTGGCAGGCATAGCAGCACTAAACAGAGTCCGCATGGAAATCCCATTGGAGAAGGAGAACCAGGAGAAACTGGTCAAGTTCATGATTCGTATCGGTGTGTTCTCCGTGCTCTACCTGGTCCCCCTGCTGACCGTTCTGGCCTGCTACCTGTACGAGAACAGCTACAGAGCTATCTGGGAGACCACCTGGGTGCAGGAGAGGTGTAGAGACTACCACATCCCCTGCCCCTACCAGGTGATATATCTGACTCTGATATTATTAAAGGAGCAGAGCATTGTATTTTAACATAAATCATGTTGCGGTATTCCTTAAAATGCTTTCCTTCTAAGTTGAACATCTGCAGTATATTGATAGTTTCATTGTTACAGGATAATAATGGCTAAGCTTGCCTGCCTGCATATTCCGTCATCTGGTGGTGTCATCATATCTTACCCTCTTCTTTACAATGAATACAGCAGATTTTAATTTGTTGGCACACAAATGTACACATTACACTTAGTGTTTACGCATGAAAACAGGACATTGGTGTGCTTTTAATTATTGCAACGCTAAATCTTGATGAGGCTGTATGTAAGAGTAATATCCTATAATCCAGAAAACCCAGATGAATGATTATTTCAGAATCCAGGTACTGATGGTAGCTGAGATACTGAAGCATTCATTCATTGACAGTTTTCAAGTTTTCACAGATGTTCTTCTTCATTAAATGTACAACTGGGACGTTTGCAAAGAAGCTAGAAAACGGAGCAGGAGGTAACAGCTGGAGAGAGCTGATAACTGCCAGATGTGTTTGCATACAGAGACATTACAGAGCAGATACTCAGTGAGACTGTGTGTCCCAAATATGACCAGATACTGTGTGAATGTAAACACAGTCACTTTCCAACATAAGCCATGGTACACGCACAAGCACACGCACACGCACACGTACACGTACACGTACACGTACACACACTCACTCGTTGTCTTCAGTAGCCGAGTTGCTTCACAGAGCTGCGGTAGCCTCCAGCATCAGTACACATGCTGCAGCTCATCTCATAGAGCTGTTAATAATTCAAACAGCTCTCTTTATCTGTTGTTCTCTGCTCCTTGCAGCCAGGTATCACCTCCCATGTGAGCCACTGCCTTTGCACATCCGCTGTTACCCCTCCATGTTCAAAGTGGATCTTGATTGTGGTAGAGCAGAGTAAAGGAGGGTTGTAGGTGTGCAGTGATGCAGACTGTTTATGTGTTGTTTTGACAAGTCCAGTATTCTGTAGCAGAAGTATTCATTATTGAATTGCCTCTGGTATTTTCTGACTTAATCTGGATCTCCGCCACTGCAGCACTGACTTAACTGTTAATGTTTGAACTAGTTGTGAAATGGCTGATTTATTGATTTATCTTCATTTCTTTGCAGCACTAGACACAGTTGAACTAATTTTACCTGTAGAAATGACCTCAGTCGTTACCAACCTGATATTTGCCTGTGTTGTTTAGTACAGAGCTGCAGCTGTGGGAAGAAACGCAAGAGCACTGGACTAAGATCAGATGCATTGTGCTGCAGAGTCCTGCTCTTAATCTGTCACGTAAACACTGCATTGTGTAAGAGCAGTGCAATAATCCAGTGTGTTTCTACGGGGAGAGGACGGGGTCGTTAGGGTCAAGCTGCCCCACATCATAGTTCCAGCAGATCTGAACACACTCTGCATGTTGTGCACAGCTGAGCTCTGTTCTGCTAGACATGATACAGCAGTGCACTGTAGAGACTACAATCACATCAAGATTCAGCTTCCCATCCCACCCCCAACCTTACTGTGTTCATGAAAGCTCACATTTATATTCATACACACATAAAGTCCATAACATGCATCAATAGATAGCTTAGACTCAAAGTGCCTTACTATATTTATCTTAAAAGCCTTCCCTGAGGCTCAGACCTCTCCTCTGATGAACAGATCCTGAGTGATGCGCCCTTCCACACACACACACACACACACACACACACACACACACAGGTTGATAACTGACACAAACCTCATGAGATTGGTCCAGAAGGCTGTGTTTTCACTCCTACAACTAATTTTAGGCGTAGCTGCATAAACCACATCCAACTGTTTGGGCCTGTGAATCTGATCCTGCAGCTGGAAGCTGCTGTGTCGATGTGGTCGCTGACATACAGTCTGTAATAAGGACGTTGGCTGTAGTCATCCAGCCTCTTATCTCTATGCTATAATGAGTGTATCTGTGGATGGCTGAGCCTTGGGGCTCTCTGGCCCACTCATAATGAGGCCATCATGACTACATCTGTGTGTGACTGCATGAGTGAACGTGTGTGTGTGTGTGTGTGTGTGTGTGTGTGTGTGTGTGTGTGTGTGTGTGTGTGTGTGTGTGTGTGTGTGTGAGAGAGAGAGAGAGTAGGAGACTGTGGGTCTCTGCATGCCAGCTGAAATGTTGTTGCTATGGCAGAGAGCAGCAGTGTAGTGAGACTGTGACTGAAAAATCTGTTTGAATTTATGGTTATGGTTTTGAAACAATATTCATTCATATTTATGCATTTTTTAAAATATATTTTAAGCTATTAAGTATTTAAGATATTTTTCACTGTAATTTGCCTTAACCTTAGTCTTACATTGCCTGTATATAATCAGTCATTAGAATGAAATCACATTCAGTGTTTTTTGGGGAGAACACCCTGACTAATATCAGCACAAAATACCAAATATATATATTTATGAATATCAGTCATCAGAAACCTCCCCTGCTGTGATAGAATGATTGCGTGAGAGAGAAGTGATAGGAAATGCAGGACAGAGATGGAAGATATTTTTCACACAAATAAACAGTAACACAGAGGCTACAAGTCGAGTCAGAGATGGATGACTGTTTTGGCTGCTGCAGTGTTTATGCCTCCAGCGGCTCATCTGTTGTCACTGATGATGTGTGAAGACTTAACACTGGGAATGAATCAACACACTGTCAGCAGGCGGGAACCTTTAGTAGTTCATACGCGCTGATGTTTACACACAGGAACTGCAGTACAGCTATCACACTGTTTGGTTTGTATTTCTATATCTAGTTTTGGTCGGTAATGCACCTGTGGTAATGTGTGTATAATGCTGCAGACTCTTACTTTGACATTAGCAAATATAAGATCTGAAATTTGAAATAGGAAGTCATTGACAACCACTGCAAGTCACATAACACACACACACACACACACACACACACACACACACACACACACACACACACACACATCTTCAGGGCTTATGTGGGTGTATTAGCTGCAAAGTCTCTCTTATTCTGTCTCTACCTCCAGCTCTTCCTCCCACATCAACCAAACCTACCCACAGTGATGTTTCTGGTTTTAGTGATGTCCCAATCAACACAACCAATAACTACATCTTCTGTGTGTGTGTGTGTGTGTGTGTGTGTGTGTGTGTGTGTGTGTGTGTCCTGTAGGTGGAGAGCACCAGTCGTCCTGACCTGGTCTTGTTCCTCATCAAGTACCTGATGATGCTGATCGTAGGAATCCCCTCAGTGTTCTGGGTGGGCAGTAAGAAGACCTGCTTTGAGTGGGCCAGCTTCTTCCACGGAAAGAGACGCAAAGAGTACGTACTCTAAACAGGATGTGTTGAGTTGTCAGGATGATCACACTGCAGGTTTTGTCTGGCTGCACACTCCCCTGGCTCAGCTTCATAGGAATTGGTTTAATTATATGACGCTAAATATTTTAGTAACAAACTATCTTTAAAACATCTTTAAAAGGTTTGTTACATAAGTTTTGTCCCAGTATTTTTAACTCAAGCAGAATTCAAAGCGTTTCATCTCTTTATGGTGATAATTAGATTTAAAAAAAGTCCAGTGGATTTTTAGTCTCAAAGCTTATTCTTATGTACCAGCTCTGCGCAGGCTGCAGGCTCAGATACTGCTGGGAATGACACTTCTGTTTTAAACAGCCTACAGCAACATAAAATGACAATAACATGATAAATGCATTATGTAGACAGATTATTGTATGTAGTTACATCTACTGTTCTGTCATTAACAACTTGATGTTAACATACAAGTGAAGGAGACTACACAATAATCTTAAATTCGTAGAAATGAGAAAGAAGAAAAAAAATACTGTCGGAATGAAGAAATTTGACTTTTCATATAAGAACAACATTTTACTTCAACACAGAGCTTCTAAAAAACCCAAATCTCTTCTGTCTCCATATTGGCATCGTTGACCACTTTCAGTCAAAGGTGCCCCCCTTCAGATTGACTGAAGGGGGGCGGCGGCTATCTGAAGGCTAATGCCATGTGAGAAAATCACAGTGGCACCTAACATCACCAGAAAAATGCCAAATAATGTTATTTAACCACGTTAGCAAGCTTAAACTAGCAAGCTAACCCTGGCTTCTTTCTTCTGTGGGTTAGCAGTCAGGTTGCTAGCAGACGTAATTGTTAAACGGTGGATATATCAAAGTATGAGTCTAATTTCTGTCGTAAAATCCCATGAAAATGTCACCATGACTACTATGATGTTTTTTGGTGTTTTTATGCCTCACTATACTATGACTTTTTTGACTTTTGTTGCCTTACCATACTATGACATTTTACTATACTGTTACACTCCCAGTGAGAGTCCAGGGGTTGGGGAAAGGTAACAGCAAATGAAATAGTAAACTGGGCCAAACAGAACAGATACAGGGAAACAGATTTGGCAAATGATAAGGAATTTTTATTCACAATAAAGTATAACAGAAAACCAACAGTGGAACAATCTCTGGGTGACTCAAAACTTATAAACCAAGACGAACCAAAATGAACACTAAACGGGATTAATTTAGCTCTCCAAGATGACAGACAGCTCAACTGCTGTCGAATGGCTCTCTGGCGCTGGACAAGCCTCTGCACTCCACCTTCATGCTCCAGCTCCTGACTGGGATCAGGGATCAGCTGTGTTGGAATACCTGTATGAGAAAAGGGGAGGGCAGACCAGCACATACACACACCACCACTGACTTACTATACTATATGATGTTTTATGCCTTATTATAATGATGATTTTTGTCATTTTTATGCCTTACTGTACTATGACCTATGACTAAAATATCAAAGTCTTGGCCAAATCAAATTTTTTTAGGGCCTTTTTAAGGCCCCATAAAGGCTCTGTTTGAGCCGGACAGAGGAATCTGAGCCCAGTGTCTGTGACTGTACTCTGATTTAGACTGAGGTCTGAGTGTAGTGGTACTCTGGTGTGTGTGTAAGTGTGTGTAAATGTGTGTGGCTTGTTGGTGAACACAGGCCCTTCTCTGCACTCACTCCCCTCCCCTCCAAACTCAGAGCATTAACCCCCTCTCCCACTGCCTGCTCCACACACTCCTCCATCCTCTTCTACCACGCCCACCACCCCACTACCTTCCCCCTCTCCCTCCCCACCCTCCTGCGTCTCTCCCTGCCCTCCCTCCCTACACTCCCCTTCTCCTCCTCCTCCACCCCCTCCTCCTTCCCCTGCTGCAGTGGGATGGTCAACGAGAGCCGACAGGTGCTCCAGGAGCCCGACTTCGCCCAGCTGCTGTTCAGGGACCCCAACACGCCCATCGTGAGGAAGTCGCGGGGCACATCCACCCAGGGGACCTCCACCCACGCCTCCTCCACCCACCTGGCCATGCTGGATGAACCACCCAGCGGCAGCACCAGCCGGGCCGGCTCAGTTCGCAGCGCACGCTCCAAGATGAGTAGTTACCACGGCAGCCTGCACCGCTCCAGAGACGGCAGGTGAGCTTTCAGCTTCACGCGTTTTAATAACTCCACAGAAAGTCTCACTCCTGAAGCTGATGGTTGTTCCTCTCCACCTCAGATACACAGCCTCCAGTTTCCGCGCCACAGATGACCGACTGCCCTACGGCAGCATGCCTCGCCTCAACGACCAATCACAGTCCAGGCACTGCAGCACCAATCGCCTAGACAGCCTATCACGGCACGGCTCCACCCAGCGTCTTGAGAGCCAGTCGCGGCACAGCAGCATCAGGGACCTGAGCAGCGCCACCCAAGCTGTTCTCGGTGTCCCTGGAAACGGGATCCACAGAGTCCTGGAGGAGGACGCAGCGACAGCCTGAACTGTGATCCCCTCCTCTCCTGGAGACTCGTGAAGAGGATGACTCTCTGTCCTTTTCTTGAAGGATGAAGAATGTGCGAGGATCCAGATGAAGTTTAGCTGGACAAGGGCTACATCAGCCAGAGTAAGGATGGAGCATGGACTGATGCCTTAACATGTTCTCTCAGCTTTACCTGAACCTCCAGCTGATCCCAAAAACTGAAGGTCAGATGATTTGTGTCCAGTTTACAAAACCACAAGAGAATTTGTGGTACTGATGTGGACAAAGCTTCACTGCTGGACCTGAACTGAGCCAGTAAGGAACAAAATGTGACACTGACAGACTGCACTGGATGGTTTCTACTTGTACTTGTTTGTATAAAGGACTGTGAACAGGATTTGAACAATGGACATGACGAGCCTTCTCTTGTAGTCTGTGCTTTTAGCACTGATGAAGGCGGAAGCAGGGTATTTTTTTAAAGATTTACCTTTTTTAGATTTTACTTTTTACCTTTTTTGCACCTCTTCAGCTTCTGACATCACAATTATTTTTCAGTTTCATGTCTAAAATTCTGGGAACTTAAACCTGCTAAACTTCTATTTATAAAGGCAAATGTTTTCACACCTGAATTGAAACTCCACATGAAAGGCAACACATTAGCGAGACGTTTAGGGAACCAACAACCGAGTGTGGATTTTTGCCTTAAAATTTCCTCTCAGCTTTACCTGACCCACTGGCTGATCCCAAAAACTTCAAAATGATTTCAGTCAAGTTAATGATGGATAGTCTGATGGTGATGTCTGGATCTCTCTCTTATTTTAAAAAGTGTTTTTAATATTGAGGTACTTCATTGCACCTATGGAACAATGTATGTAATGTTAAGAGGAAAAATGTCTGAAATCTGTGGTTTACCATTTTGAATGAAAGGGCTGAAATACAGGAACAAAGCTGAATCCAAACTCCTGCCTTACGACTGTGTTCAGACGGAACCAGAGGTGAACTTTACACGCGTGATTGTTTACAGAGGACAGATGCAAATTCACCCAGTGTCGAATTTAGGTGAAGACACGAGTTGAAAATGTTTTGACTTGAACCAAAACTTGTGCGTGTATCCCGGTCCTCTATGAAACTATGACATAAATGTGAAGAGAAGGAGAGAGACTGGATGGAGAGAACAGTTTTTAGTGAGTTCAGGCTGAGCTGAACACAAACACAGACACACACCCGGTCGTTGCTTGTGAATAACTTCCGTCTCCATTTCGCTCGTTTCTGTCTGAACACACCTCTACTGTTTGAATAGATAGAGCCCTTAAATTAGTCAAATTCTAAATAGGTGATCCTGCTAAAATGTGTCCTTACTTGTATAGTTACTGTAAATGTTAGAACAACATTTCCTCTAGTGGCAAAACTTGTGTATAGATGTAAAAACTGAACTTTTGTTGTTCATTTGTAATAAAGTTTTTTTAAAGAACGGACAAAAGGCATGTTTCTGGCAGAAGAAATGACCACACTGACACAAACTGGGTGTGTATTTGTAACAGCCCTCCGCTTTATTGAAATACATCGGAGTCAGGTTAATATAATGAGTTCTCCACATAAGTGTGGCAGCCAGTTCCATACATTATTTTTTGTTTTGACCTTACACCTTAAATATTTTTTTTTGTGCAAAAAAGAATCTACATCACCTGTAGTGGGTTATCCTCAGTAAAACGCCCAAACCGTTCAAAAAGGAGCAAGTCCAAGTAAAACAACAAACCGAAAACAAAAATGATTACATCTATAACATGCAAAACTGTACAAATTATTACAAAGCAATCCTAGAAAAAAAAAAACAAAGTGTAATATGATATGAAAGAGCAAAATAATATAGAAGGTACTGTGGATAAGACCTCACTGAAATGCAAAGGCGTTTGATTTTTTTTTAGGTTTTCTTCCTCTTGTTACCACTGTGGCACCTCAGCCATCAAATCACCTGTCACCCTTCACCCCTGATACATTTCATCATTTTCTATCTTCTAGTCCTCACCACCCGTTCTTCCTGCTGTCTCCACCCGGCTCACATCTACTGTACACTACAGCCAGATTCCCTTCACTCAATCACTCCTCCATCCATCCATCCATCCATCCATCAAACAAACCTCTAACACGCCCATTCTCATCTAAATGAAAATAATTCATTGGTTCTGACGTTTCCTGAGTTTCTCTTCCCCTCTCCTCAAACTGGGATATCTGGGATCAGCTTTTCTGTACAATATTGGCCAATAATAAAACACCTGGCTGAGACAGCTTCCTCTCCTCCAGCGAATACATTCTACAGATAAACTCCAGCAGGAACTAAGGAGAGTCGCTAGTTTAAAAAGTTTCTAAGAGGCGGTTGTTTGGAATAAAACCAGCTTAGTTGCACTCTGGCGCTCCAAACCTTTCTCTCCTCGTATAAAACACTAAATAAAACACTTGGAATGGGCTGTTTAGAGCTACTTTGTTGAGTCTCAACAGGGCAGGATCGGCAGGAATGTGCACCGAAGTACTCAAGTTTTTGTTTCCCTTTCTAACAAACAAGACAAGCGGAATAAACCGGAGGATCGTGACCCAGGACACTGTACTGTCAGCTCCCACAGAGGAGGACCAGGTTTCTCTGCACTGTCACTAACAGTGAACACAGACTGTGCATTCTTTTTTTTTTTCTTTTTTTTTAACAGATAATACCACATTACAACCACAGTGGAGTTAGTGTTTGACGTCAGGACTTTTTCAGCTCCATGCACATTCTGCCTCATGATTCCTCGAGTAAAATGCTTTTTGTTTTCACTGTCTGTAAACTGAAGGAGATGAACAGAGGTAACAGGTTTTTGGCTGTGAATGCCCTGCTCTGCAGCCAGGAGCCGCCACACCGGGAACAAAAAAAAAAAAGCTCTTTCAGAGGCATTTTCCATTCTGCCAAAGAAAAACCGCCTGGAGGGAGGCGTCCACATCCAGCCCTGTTAATTTCACAGACAACGCCGGGCAGCACTGAGCTTATTTAATCAAGACAAACACAAACCCAAGTGCTGACTTTCTCGCAGCTTTACATTCTTATTTTAGCTTCCTTTTTTTTTTTTTTGTAATTAAGAGCTCTTACAAATGTCGCTTAATCATTAAAACATTCTTCAGAAGAAGCAAAGGCTGTGAGAAAGACAAAATAACGCCTCAGTCTCCCTCTTTTTGTCCATTTTTGGTTAAATCGAGCTGATCTCTCGGTGGAGGGACTGACCGCTTCCATCCAGGTACCACAGCGAATTTAGAAACACACGCACACACATATATTAACTGTTGATTAAATGATCAGAGCCGCTTCACCTCTGGCAGCCAGAGGAGGAGCAGGACAAGGCATTTGCTGCGTAAAAACACCACCTCAGTGTGTAGATACATGTGTGATAGGAGGTTTGTGATAAATGCATGTGTTCACTCTACAGTACGGGCAGTAGTGTCAATCAGGTTTCTTCACTCAAATGCAAACCGAGTGGGGAGAAGAAAAAGGAAAAAAAAAACAACACACAACGCGTGTCATACATACAATAAAAAAAACAAACAAATCTAAATTCAAATGGTACAAAAAAAGAAAACTGGAAAGAAGTTTAAAATGGCTTTTTGTGTGTGAATACAACCTCAAATCACTCAAAAGAAAAACAAACAATAAAAATCAAAGAGGATTTTTTTTCTTTCCCGTGTAGATCTCTACAGTATTTTCCTTATCATATATTACTCTCTACTTTGAACCTATGTACATTATTGTGATGGGAGTCTGTGAGTTGGTCGGTTTGGTTGCACAGCGAAGTGGAACATCTACGCTACGATGGCGGACACGTCCATCCAGGGCTGCTGGATGATGTCACACTTGCGGTGGACCAATGCGGAAGAGAGTAGCACAGTAGGAGGAGCTGTGATGATGTCATACGAGCCGTTATTATTGACGCTGCTTGTAGCTTCTTTTTTTTTTCTTTTCTTTTTTTTTTTTTTTACTGATGGTCAAAATAAAAAATATTATAAAGTCACTGCACTTAGTATCATGAGCAAAATAAAAAAAGAAAAATCACTGATTTCCTTACTTTCTCTCTCTTTTTTTTTTTTACTTTTCTGATTTTTGCAGCACCCAAAGAGAAAGCGACTGAGGGAAGTGAGGAGGGGTTTAAACTCCACCCGTCTGCTTCAGGCCATAAAGAAGCAAACCTCCCTTTCCTTGTCTAAGATTGATAAATAAATTAAAATATTGTCCCCTAAAACCCAAAGGGTCCTATGTACAAGTACAAATCATTTTCTCTCAATAATAATCCTCTTCTTGTTTTTGTTGCATCATGAGTCTGGATCGATCTCATCGAGGGGGGGAGGGGGGTGGGGGTGGGGGGCAGAGCGGTGTCACCCTCGCTCAGCACAAAGAGCTAAGACGGGAGTTTTTCATTCCTATATCATTTGCCCTTTCTGAACAAACACATGCACACACGCTGGCGAGCGCGCACAGCCTCTCTCACACACACGCGCACGTTCACCCTCACACATCAGCACTACCACTAATTTAGATTTCCCTCAAAGAGACGACAGACTCGCTCTTAGTGTCGCTGCCCCACGTTGGAAGTACGGTGAGAGACAAACTGAGGTTGTAAAGTGGGACAAATGTTCATCAGGAGGGGGGGAGGGGGGGCGACAGGAGGTGCAGTTCTCTGGGCACAGAGGGGGAATATTCAGAAAGGAGGCGAGAGGCCTGCGGTGGAGGAGGAAGTAGAAGAAGAAGAAGAAGAAGAAGAGGAGGAAGGTTTGGAGTCCTGTGCTGTCGGTCGGTCGGTCGGTGGGGTTGGGCGGGCGAGAGGCTGGAGGGGTGGGGTGGGTGGTGGGGTGGGGTGAAGGGTGGGGTGGGGTGGGGGGGGCTCATGTGTCCCAGCCCATCCGGTCTGTGCTCTCCAGGGACAGGGACTTGGTCTTGTGTGGGGAGGCCGGGCTGGGAGGGCTGCTGAAGGTGGAGCTGTTGGAGGCCGTGGAGTGACGGGGGGAGTCCGAGTCCTGGAGGAGAGGAGAGGAGAGGAAGAGGAAGTGGAAAGGAGAGGAAGAGGAGAGGAAGAAAGGAGGTGGAGATGAAGGAGGTGAAGTTTGGGAAAGAAACAAAGGAAAGAAGCAAAAATACACAAGTTAGATGATTTTCACTTTATACGTTATGACTTTACAAACTGACTGTGATTGAGATTCATGAACCTGGAGACTGTGTTTCTGTCTCTGCGATAATAAAGATATAAAATACATCATTTTATTTAAAGCGACTCCTCCTGTTTGTGAAGAGGTGATGGCTGACAGCTGGATGCTTTGCTTGCATGCATACTCTTCTCAATGCTTATTAATCTGCTGTCTGGAGTGGAGGGCAGATGTAAAGTCAGAATGAATCACAGTGCTCGCACCCCCACCACCCCACCTCCTCGTCTTCCAGTACATTCCACATCATCAGCAGATGAACAGCTCAATTGACCAGAAATGATCAGCTACAGTAAAACAAACATGCAGCGAGAGCAGATGAGGGGAGGGGGGGCATGTGGGTTAAACCTTCGTACTGTATAACACAGAGAGTGTGACTTGTAAAGCCATGACATGAGCTGATCATAACTAACATCTATCTGCCATGTAAGCAAACACAGTAACAGAAACAAGCCTTTGTTTTCTGTGTGCTACAGTTTGTACGAGATTCTTTCTTCAGCGATGATGTCGTCAGATTTATAATAATTATCTCGTGCTGGATGGAAAGTTCACTGACTCTGGACTTGATAGCTTTGATGTGAACAATCATCTCCTGTTTGGATCCAATCTAAACTCGCACAAACACATTTGGCCAATAAAACACTTCAGAGAGGCGTCCTGCGTCATGTCTCCCATCTCCAGCTACAGTCAGACAAACAATCACAAAGTTACACTGGACACTTTCTCAATCTGTTGTGCGAAACCTACAGCACACACCACGCATGCACGCACACACGCGCACGCGCACGCGCACGCACACGCACACACACACACACACACACACACACACACACACACACACACACCCACACACACACACACACACACACACACACACACACACACAAAGCCTTTCACAAGTCAGTGCAGATGGGCAGCTGTGTAGAGTTGCTCGATACAGATACTAGAAATTCCTCCGATACTCCTAATCCAGCCAAGTACACAAGTAAATTATTAATACACTTTATAGTTTCAAACGGGTATAAAACAGCAATTTCCCCAGAATTTAATTCTTCTATGCTGCTCTAAAGCAGTATCTACACAGCTGGCGCTGTGCGGCCACTGGCATCTTCTGTTATAGAGCGGCAAAGAACTGATTTCCTGTAAATAGTGAAACGTTAGCCAACGCGTAGGATTTGTTTTCTATTCCTAGATTTATT